ATATAAATGAAAGAAAAATGATTTATAATTAAAAAATTGTAGTAAAATAAAATAAAATGAAAAAGCAAAAAAATAAATTGAATTAAACGAAATAAAATGAAATATAAATGAAAGAAAATTAAATTATTATTAAAAACTAAAATAAAATAAAACAAAAAAAATATCAAATTTCAAATGAAAAAAAAAATAAAACTTAATAAAAAAATGAAAACAAAATAATTTGAACTAAAATGAAATAAAACAAATTAAAAAGTATTAAAGTAAAATAAAACGAGACAAAAAAATTAAATTAAATTGATTATAACAATAAAATATAATTGAAAGAAAAATGATTTATAATTAAAAAATTAAAGTAAAATAAAATAAGATGAAGAAAGATTATTATAAATTTAACTAAATAAAATGAAATATAAATGAAGGAAAATTAATTTATAATTAAAAAACTAAAATAAAATAAAACAAACAAAATGAAATAAATTTAAAATTTCAAAAATAAAAGAAAACTTGATAAAAAAATTAAAATAAAATAATTTAAAATAAAATAAAATAAATAAAATAAAATAAAATAAACTAAATAAAATAAAATAAAATGAAATAAAGTAAAATAAAATAAAATAAAATAAAATAAAATAAAATAAAATAAAATAAAATAAAATAAAATAAGATAAAATAAAATAAAATAAAACAAAATAAAATAACATAAAATAAAATAAATAAAATAAAATAAAATAAAAAAAGTTTTAAAAAAATGTGAATAAAATAATTTAAAGTAAAATAAAATAAAACAAATTAAAAAAAAAAAATTAAAAAGAGTACAATAAAATAAAATAAAATGAAACAAAAAAAAATTATATTAAAAAAATTATAAAAATAATATATAAATAAAAAAATTAATTTATAATTAAAAAATTAAAATAATATCAAATAAGATTAAGCGAAAAAAATTTATAAATTTAAAATTTAAAAAACAGAATAAAATTTAATAAAAAAAAATAAAATTATAAATGAAAGTAAAATAATTCAAAATAAAAAATTTAAATAAAATAAAATAAAATATAACGAAAGACAAGAAAATTAATTAAAAACGAAACTAAAATAAGTAAAAGAAAGTAAAATAGGAACGTAAAATTATTTTATTTTTTAATTTCTCTCTCTCTTTTTCTGCTGACGAGCATTTATGCACACTACTAAAATTAGTACAACAACACTATAGAACATGGCATTCATACTGAAAGCTAATAAGTTACATTCTAAATTCTAACTGGAACAACTCAATGGAGATCAACAAAGAAATTAGAAGCAAACAATCTTTAGCTAATTGGACCTTTTATATTTGCAACAATAATTTGTCGTTAGTCAGCAGGGTACTACGCGTGTGTAACTTCTGCAGTACATATATGCCATATTTGTAACTACATACATACATATCACTTAGCCGGGGGTCGTAACTTGACTTGGTTTTTCCAAGACGTTTCCATTACACAAACCACAAATTACTTATTCAAAGCTGAAATATTAAAAAATACAACACTTGCTATACACATACACGTATATGTGTGTATGTGTGGCTCATATATATGCATTTTTGCATGAACTTACTCATACGCCGGGCTGCAATGGTAGAATCTTACAACGCATTCCAATTGCGGCCATACGAAATTACAGTGAATGGCTTCTTTGATGAAAAAAATTAAAAAACAAAAAAACACAACGAACTATCTCAAGAATTGCAAAAAATTATGCCAACAGCAAGGAGGCGTACGTGTCTTCAAGTCTACAAAATGTCTTCTAATTACTCAGCTCGGCAGTTGTAGAACAAACCAATGGCCACTTGGGCACATTTCCTGTCACGTCGACAACAAATAACAAAAAAAAAAAATTTTAATAAAACAACAACACTAAGATGTAAACCACTATGCATATAGTAGTATTACCCGGGGCAGCCTAAGCCGCGGTCGAGTGGCAAAGGAAAGTGTTGCTGAAGACTTTTGGGAAGGAAGCGGCAACACACCAACGCACACACACACACACGTACATCTATGTATGAAAATTCAGGTGAAACAGTTGTCATCTTTCTTTACAACAAATGTGTGTATACAACTGTATATGTTTGTGAGTGTGTGCGTGAAAATTGCGGTCGAGTAAGCAGCAGTCAGAGTATGACGCTACTTGAACGCTTGAACATTGAAGCGGTTCGCATAAGCAAAGTGCAGGCCAATTGTCGACGCACCACACATGGCGTATGAGTAACATTTCGCTTGCAGAATTTTGACAAGCTTTCGAAATAAATGACCAACTAACTGAACCAGTTTGCACTGGCAAGTTTTAATTGGTAAATTGTTAAGCATCAGCATACAGCGAAATAAGCCCAATTTGCTAGCAATGTATGTTTGTAGAAAAAGGTACAAAAAGTCGCCATGCGAATTATTAACCAAAGGAGTATTAATGGTTTTTTGTTATTTTCTGTGATTTGGGACAAAGTGCCAGCAAACAGAATGCTTAGATATAGATAATAGAAATATATAAATCAAGGAAAATATAAGTGCTTGTACATTGTTGTACATATGTGTGCATGTACATAATATACGAGTATAAGAAGTCATTGAAATGCTGAAATAATTATATACGGAAATGTAATGGCTGGTGAAGGCTGAGTAACGGAATATAATTTTTTTATTATTTTCACCAGCACGCGGAGATGTATAAAAAAGTAGAAATTTTGTATGAAAAATCTATTATTTTGTATCAAAAAGCTATGCTGCAAGTTTAGGAAATCAATTTTCACTTCTTATTAATTTTAATTTTTAGCTGTACCAAGAGTCAATTTCATATTTTCATATTATTATTAGCTATGGAATTGATTTAAAAAAATTATTGATTTAAAAAAAATATTATTATTATTTTTAAATTTACCAAAATGAGTAAAAATAATTTTTATTTATTTTTGCTTTGAAGCTGACAGAAAAAAAATATTATAATTTGCTAAAATATATAAACAAGTAAATTTTTTTTGAAGCTTTCTAAAAATGATTATTATCACTTTAATATTTTATATTCTTTATATTTTTATGCTTGAGAAAAAATATTTTGGTCTTATTTTTGTCGTGGAAACTGCCTAAAATATTGACTATTACAGTTTTTTTTTACAATATTCTTTACTGTTTTTGTTTTATTACAATTTTCGTTATTATTTAATTAAAAAGCCGTTTACCTTAAGCGCAAAAAAGTACTGCTGAATTCTTAAAATTGACAAAGGACAAAGTTGTATTTAAGCTCTTTGGCGCCCACACGTCTTCGAGCTGCACAAAAGGAGCATACGCACACACACACAGATAGTACATAGATGTGCATACACGGTGTACTCGTATGCTGTGTAAACTACCAAAGATAAAAACATCAATATATATGTATATGTAGCGAGTGGTTAGCATTGCGTACTACCATTCGCAAGACTCGGGTTCCAATCCTGGTGTCATACTAACATCCAAAAAGTTATTGAAAATTAATTTAAATAAAAATTAAATTCAATTTTCTAATTGCAGACGACCCTCGCCAGGGAATGTCAACTCCCCCGAGTGTATGTCTGACATGAAAATCAAAAGCTCCTCATGAAAAAACCATCAGTCATTTGGCGGCGACTTAGTATAAACTGTAAGTCCCTCCATTTGTTGGAAAAAACTCCAAGACGAAAAATCACAAATTGGAGGAGAAGCTCGGCCGAAAATCGCTTCAACGGTTGCAAAGCGCCAATTATATATATGTATGTTTTCACCTCTAACAAGGTGCAGAGAAAAGGAAGGAAGCATTTTTCCACAGAAATGAAAGTAAAGCTTATAAGCATCGCAAACAGCCACAAACGAGAATGTTTTTTTTTTCATTAAATTTTTTCATATTTCTTTATTTACTTGGTGTAGCTATTGCCAGGCAAATAAGCGAATGCAAACGCAGATATTGAGACGGAGAGCAAACTGAGGACTCTACGAGTATATCGTAATGGCATGAGTATATATTTACACAGACACACATACATATGTGTATATTATATAATATATATGTATAAATTTATTCATATAAGTATGTGGTTGTCAGATATATATATATATATATACATACATACAGATACTTTCTGCACATTTTTTGATTTTCTATTCCCAATGGTGAATTGTGTGGGAAATTGTTTTTGTTCTTGTTTTTTTTTTCTTTTAATAAGTCGGCTCATTTGCGTACATCTTGCTTAATAGAGCAATTTTCCACGAAGCCTCTTAAATGTTATGCCGCCATATTTTTTCTATTTACTATAATACTTATAAACGTTGCTTTGAGAAACGGATATGCTATTGCTGGCATTAGGGTGACCATAAAAAATCCAATTTTTTTAATAATTTTTTTTTCTACGTTTTTCAATGGGTCTTTGCTCTACTTACTACTTATAAACGTTGCTTTGAAAAACGGATGTGCTATTGCTGGCATTAGGGTGACCATAAAAAATCCAATTTTTTTTAATAATTTTTTTTTCTACGTTTTTCAATGGGTCTTTGCTCTACTTACTACTTATAAAAGTTACTTTGAGCAACGGTTTGGCTATTGCTGGCATTAGGGTGACCATAAAAAATCCAATTTTTTTTAATAATTTTTTTTTCTACGTTTTTCAATGGGTCATTGCTCTACTTACTACTTACAAACGTTGCTTTCAGCAACGGTTCGGCTATTACTGGCTTTAGGGTGACCATAAAATACTCAAATTTTTTTAACTTTTTTCAAATATTTTTTATATTTTTTTTTTCTTTCTACATTTTTTACTTGATCATTGCATGCATGGCCTTGTTCTTTTCCTACCGCAAATAATTATTTACATTTCATTACTATTTGAATTAGATAAGCTTTCCACAACATTTAGCTACTGAAATTGATATATACACTTCTAAAATAAAAATAATTTTTTGACGTTTAATGCTCCTTTGCTATATCTATTTAAGTAATTTATTATTGCAAAAACTTACCGCTTTATGGCTGTGTGTGCGTGTGTTTTTCGGAGAGATCTCTCTCACCACGACCAGGGTCCGGAAGTTCTTCCTTCAGCACTCAACACATTTACTTCCTTAAGTATGTTTATTTATATGAGTCTGTGTGTTGCTTCGTTGGTAAATGTGGTTATAAAGCAGCTGGAAGGAAAACAATATAAAAAGCGGGAATTAATGTTGGGGTGAAATTAAATTAAAATTAAGATTAAAATATTAAATGCATAAAAATCAGAGATGATTCATGTCTGCAGTACTTTTTCTACATAAAATTAATTTTGAAAAAAATTACGTATGCCTTAATTTCACATTTTTATTGAACTTGTCGCATGAAATTATAATTTTTTTTTTCCAAATAACACATAAAAATGTAAACATTTGCAAATTAGCTGCAAAACTGGTTTCAAATTTTTTCCACCACATTGTGTTTGTGCAAAAGTGCGCGTGTAAATTAGTGCAATTTTTTTTTTGTGTTTTTTTTTTATTTTTTAATTTTTTTTGCGCTTCAATTTTAATTAGTCGCACTTTCCTTTCCTTTTTCCTCATTGCGGCAGATGAATGAACTTTTATTGCCAAAATATTTGAGTAAAATACTTAAAGGTAACAACAACAAAGTGGATGCCATAAAAGTCTCATGCTAATAATCATCAAATTACCCCAACTTGTTATTGTTTTTGTATCGTGCTGCTCCCATAATAATTTCACGCAAACGCACTTCCCTTTCGTTAAGCCGAAATTATGATTTTTTTTGGCAACGCTAATGGCTCCAAGGAAAGACCTCACCTTAAGTGTAACCGGTTTTTCGCTCAGTGTCAAAGTCAAAGTTAGCTTTTGGTATTGTTGTTGTTGTTTTAGTCTGATTAAAAAATGCATTGCTTGTGCGAAAAAGTTTGGCTTTTATTATCATAAATTTTCAATTTATGTCTGTCAATTGAAATGCACCTGTTAATGGCATCCATCCCAGCCACAAGTCAATGGGATTTTTTCTTTATTCATAATTAATTGCTGACGAAGTGTCGCGAAATGCAGCGCACGCACATACTTATGCACTGAGAAAATCGATTTATGGAAGTGCAACGGGGCTCAAGGATGAATGGAAAAATAGAAATATCTTTTACTGTTCACAAGAAGACACCAGGCTGAACCAGGTATCCGAGTGTCATTTTGGACAGGAAAGTTATGTGGAAACTGCATGTAGGGGAAATAGGTGGAAATCGGTGGAAATGGTACTGCTAGGTACCAGATGAGTATTATTTCCTAACCTCTTGCCTTGGTGTTACACGCGGCATTACGCTGCGGCGCTCTGATTGAGTGGACCTTTGGAAACAAAATCTCGTTTAGAAAACCATTGCAGCATTTACAGCTTCAACTTCCTGCTTTGTGCATAACAAGGATGCTACGGACCACTCCAAGAGCGGCACATGAAAAGGTAACTAAACCACAATCTATCGACAATGCAGTGGAGAGCGAAATCAGCCAGGAGGCTGATAGTCTTAGGGGAATCTACCTCTCCGTATCTTTGGCATACGGCGATTTCTTTAGATCGTAAATAAACGAACCTCCATCTGGCACTCAGAGCGTACATTTTTATTCAATATAATTTAGTTTAATTTGATTTAATTTAATTTGCATTATTGTAATTTAAATCAATTAAGTTGAATTTATGTTATTTTAACTTATTACATTTTACTTTTTTTAATTTATAATTTTTTAATTTATTTTAATACAATTTTATGGTTTTGTATTTATTTAATTTTAATTTATTTTATTTAAATTTAATTAAACCTAATTTATTCCAGTTTTATTTAATTTAATTATTTAAATTTTTTTTTATTTTAGTGTTTTCCAATTAAATTTAATTTAATTTAAAAGTTCAATTAATTTTAATATAATTTAATTTATTTTATTATAATTTAACTTATTTTATTATAATTTAATTTAATTTAATTTAGTTTAATTGTACTTATTTAAGCACGAGTGTTTATTTTAATTAAATTTAATCTATTGCAATATAAATAAACATTTTGTAATGTAATTAAGTTCAGTTCAGTTTAACTAAACTTCATTTAATTAGTTTATTTTATTATAATGTAATTAGTTTAATTAAAAAATTTATAATTTTAATTTATTATTTTTTTTTTTTTTCTTATCAAAGTAATTTCGACCCAGTCTCACAATATTACCTTATTTGGTCTTCAGCCACTTGCCTTTTCCCTCAATCACATTAATATAAATAAATTAACTTAAGCAATAACAAGTATTTGAGGTTTTACTCCGATAAGTGCTTCGAGCTTCATGTCATGTTTTATAAGTCATAAAAGTAAAAACAAACTTTTACTTCCGTCCGCGGCGTCATTGCAAAACTTCCGGATGTTAAAAGGCAAGTTGAGATACCAGATAAAAGAAAAAAAAATTGATATTTTTTGCAAACTCCACATACACTCCCCCGCAGAAGTTGGAGGCCAGAAAAACTTTCGGACACTCTTGACAAGCGTTAAACCAATTTCGATGCGGAACATATTTTGCAGGAGAGCGAATGGGAGAAGCACACATATCATGCAGACAATCGGCAGAATTATGACCTGCAGTCCGCTTACGAATAGTGTGTGTTATGTGTCATAAGTGTCAAAAACTTGTTGATTTACAACTTTTTTTTCGTGCTTAATCAAGAAGTGTAGCGTTCACACAGAGCCTGTAGGTTATTCGCTTTGGCGATCATGAAGAAGCTCCTTTTGATTGTCGCCTTTAAGTAAAAGCTTTTAGTTGAGTTTTCGATTGGAGAAAAAGATTTAAAAAAATTGCCAATTTGTGAGAGCCTCAATTGGACTTTAGTCTATTTTAGTCAATCTCAAGACTATACTCGGAAAGTTCTTCATTTCTTCAGGCATCAACAAAAAAAAAATAAATTAAATTTTGCCAGAATTTCCTGAAGATTCTAATGCTTTGAACACCGTTGGCGAAAAAATTACACTTGGGTAAGTACAAAGTACTCCTGTTACTCGAATACTCAGAAATGTTCGAGTAAAAGCTGGAGCTTCATTTAAAAATATTCGAATGGATTGCGAAAAGCGCCTACTGAACTTTCGAACAATCAAACAGGTAGATCCAAAGAACACACTTGTTAAGAGATTTGTGTGAAGAGGCGACGACAAAATTCCAGCAAGCAATCAGACTAAGTGGAAAGCGCAAGTGTAGCATTAGATACTGCTGAGTGAGAGAGACCGATAAGCTTTAAGCCCAATATCATTTGGCGGCCACCAATGAAGGAAATTGCTGATACCGAAAGAGTTGCCAACCAATCTGACACTTTGTTTCAGAATTTGTCAGGTTTCAAGATGAGTAAAGCTTGATGTTAGGAAGAGCAGGGTCTATTAAGTACCTCCGTCTTCAGACTGGTGTTAAATACTAGCATCAGTTCTGCAATGTTCGGAGCACCATAGGGTTCCGCTTATTTTCCTCTAAAATCAAAAAGAGAGTCCTTAAGGTTTTAATACAACGGTTAAGACCAGATTTTGGACTTTTCCTCTTACTCTCGCCAGAGCAGAATTCACATTTATTTACATGTAGGTATAAAAAAAACAAGCCAATTGTTTGCTGCTGGAAATCACAGTTAGAAACATTCATTTTTCTGGCTCTCGAAGATTATAACGGTGAATGTGCGACTTTTTGGATATAGAATAAAAAAAACAAGCATAAACGCACACACACACTCATATTTGGGTATACTAAATGTATATGACCAGAGCTTAGTTGCGTTTATTATTTACGAATTTATTTATTTTTATTATTACTCTTTAATTCTCATTTATTTCATTTACGCATTTTTGCCTTCTGATTAATTATTTATACATATGCACATCTATATGTATTTAGCCGCATAAGTTTGAGTTTTTTCTTAATTTTCCCTCCATCATCGAGTACTCGACCACGCGACTTTCGTAATTCTCCATAAAGTTCAAAGATAAACGAACTCCACTGTGCGTTGCGGCTTCAGCTGGTTACAAGCTACGCGCTTTGAGTACGAGCATTTCCTTACAAAAACCTGACCAAAAATGCGAATCTGTGGTTTTGCTGACAAACGCTCGCGATAAGTCGCACAAATCACAAATCTTCTCGCTAATTCATGTAAGTCATTTCGATTTCAATTAATTACGCGCTTTATTCGTGTTTCCCGTGAAGAGTTCAAATTCACTGAATGGAAATCGAACGACAATTAGAGCAGGTGTTGATTTTTTGAAAATTAATTATAAGAAGTGATGTAATGTGCACACAAATGTATATAAATATTAAATAAGGAAAAATATAAAAAAATAATAATTTTATGCGCTTAAAAAACGTTCTTCTTTAAAAAAAATAATATTTCATAACTTTCGGAATTAATTTTTTAATTTTTTCTTCCTTTAATATGTGTACTTGTGTATACATAATACTAAAGAATCATTTTTTTCTAATAAAAATTATAATTAATTTTCTTTTTGTTTGGAAACTTTTTAGTTTAAGTTTTTATTTTTATTTTTACATTTGTACATACAAATAAGAGATACGTATTTTTTACTAAGCTTATTTGTTCTATCTGTTTTGTATATACAAATATAGGATACACATTTTTTTATTAAGTATCTTTGTTTATTTTATTATTTTATTTTTCATAAAGTTCTGGAGACTTTGAATTCTTGTTGGTACATACATATAACAGTTATATATATAATTAAAAAACTTTTTTTAAATATATACATATACTTAATTATTTTTTCTTATTCATATTTATAAAATTATATTTTATTATAAGTAAATTTAACTAAATATTTTTCATTTTTTTAGTTTTTCATTGATGTTTTGTTTTTGCTAAGTATCTGTACCTATACATATGTATATATACTTTTTTTGTTTAATTAATTAAATAATATTTCTTCTCGCAATCGTCTGAAGACTTAACTTTTATTTACATCCCTTAGAATATACACACAATAAAGTAATAAAAAAATGTATTTTTAACTATTATTTAATTTTTTCTAACCCTTATTTCAATTAAGAAGTTTTTTTCTAATGATTTTTTTCAGAATTAAGAATTTTTCCAATTAATTATCTTTTTTTATTTTCATAATTTCTGAAAATTTTTGTAATGGTTTTTTTTCTCTGAGCAA